AAGTTTAGTTTTTATTCTGGGTTCAAGATTCATTTCAAAAATCATGCATGGCATTTGGTTGTCTTGCATTTTTACCTCCCTTTAATTTAAGTGGTCCTACAACAGTTTTATTTTGGGGGTGGACAAAGCATCAGCGATGAAAGAGTGCAGGCAAGTTGTTATGTAGGACGTTCGTCATTTTGGAAATACCAGTTGGTTCCTCATGATAAAATTCAGGTTACATATTTTTTGCCTTGAATATCTCAGAAGTTGATGTGTTCTAAAGAATGCTAGTTCCATTTCTGGTTCCAGAAGTATTGTTTCTTTCTTTCTGTCTCTCTCTCGCTCTCGCTCTCGCTCGCTCTCTCTGGAACTAGGGATTGAACTCAGGCCCTTGCACTTGTCAGGCAAGAGCTTATTCTACTGAGCTATCTCCCTGGCCCCTGTATTTCATTTCTGATTGTGGTTTTTTGATCCCCAGTGAAAGCAGTCCTGCCAGTGTTCTCTGTCAGTTATTGCTCTCCTTTTTTTTTTTTTTTTTTCCTGTTGCACACAGCTTCTGTAACAATATGCTATAAGAGATGGGTTGGTACTTTACCATTCTATAGTGATTGAATCCTCTTGAATTTTCTTACTTTTAGTAATTATAGTGCTTTCATGACTTATACTAGAATTGCTTTTCCTCATTTCAAGTTTCACACAGAAGAAAGACAAGAATGCTTCTTCTCTATTAACATTAGTGTGGTCCAAGAGCGTGATCACCTCTATTTTTGTCTAAAACCAGTATTATCAGAGAAACAAAGCAACAATTTCTATATCTGCAAGACAAGAGACTTGCACTTAAGTGAGCATGTATAGACAGATGTGTGTGAGTAGACCCCAAAGTCAGTCATCCAGGAGAAATACGTGGAGACATCCAGAGAGTCCACTACAAAAAAACGTTTTCTTGCAACGTCAGAATTTCTTAATATTTTTTGAGAAAGCACTTTGAGTCTACATAAACATCTTGGCTTCTCACAAACCCTGCTGCTTTTAACATATACTAATAATTACATGATATTCTCTGACTCCATTATTATATATGTACCAAATGTCAATTTTCTAATCTGATTTTGTTTGTATTTATTAGTTGCTTTTAAATTAATTAGTTGGAATTCTATTGTAAGGAAAAGTTTTTCTTCTCCATTTATTTATTTATTCATTCATTTGTATTGGTCTGAGCTGATCAATTCTTATTTTATTGAGTAGTTTATGATTTTGATATTCAGTTTTCCCAAGTTGGAGGGCTTTATGTCTTCTGACTTCTTTCTCAGCCTTCACTTTCACTGGCACAGTAAGGTGCTCCAGACTTGTGCTTTCCCAGCACTGGCCCTGGAGTCAGCTATTTCTCCAAGAAACCTGGGTTCCTTTAATGAAAATGATATTTAGAAACCAAAATCTTAGGGCTACTACGAATGATCATTGCTATCAGAATACCACTATTATAAGTCCTTGTAAAGGACTATCTATATATCTATAATCTTCCTCCCTTCTTGCCTCCCTCCCTCCCTCCCTCCCTCCCTCTTAGGTAACAGTATTATATCAATGTTAATTTTTCAGTGATACATCAGTTCACAAACTGAATGTGTGTTACACTTTTGGCAAAGATGGCCACCTTTGTGTTTGTGTGGGAAAAATGGCCATGGATGTGTTTGTCACCTGATGCAGAGTTGGCAAACAAAAATAAAAGTTGTCAAATGCCTTTGTTTGTGAACCAAGTTGTTTGCAAACAAAAGGTGTCATAAGTGGAGGTACCTCTGTAGTATTTCCTTTGATGACCCAACTCCTTCCATATTGATACCTCCAATTCCAATCCCACCCTACAGCATTCCTTCTAGCTATTACTGTTTCTATTTTTATAACTCTTTTCCCTTATGGTGAAAGCATATTTACATGTATTCTTCAGCTCAGAATATACAGAAAATAGTTCTTCAATTAGTAGTCTGTACTGCTATGAAGAACAACTGTACTTACTATAATAAGTTTGTTGATAGTTATCTTTGTCTCAAGACTAATGTCTTTGAGCAAGCTACTTGGATGGTTATTGATTTAAAATGTAATTAGGTTAATTTGCTTCAGTTTGTGTTTCATTTTAGATTTTGTTCCTCTATTTTTCTTTTGAATATGTGAAATAAGCTCTTAAATGTCAGAAGTACACAAAAGATATGTTAAATAAACACCACTCCCTTATACGATCAGTTTCTACCCGACCCTGTTCCTACCCACAGCCATTAGTAACCAATTTTTTTTTTAGTAACCAATTTTATCAGTTGTTAGATTAATTTTGTCTCTCTTTTTGAACAGATGAGTAGATACATGTGTATTCTCTTATTTCCCTTGATGTCTTTCACAAAATTAATACACCACACCTTTTTTTGTTATTTGCTTTTTCACTTAACAGTCTGTCCTGGAAATCACTCTATGTCCACATCAGTTCCGAGACCTCTGCAGCGTCTCCCAGGTGTGGATTTGGCAGCGCATTCCATCCCTCTGCTCTGCATGGGCATTGAGCTTATTTTCAATAACAAACAATTACATGCTTCCACTGTCAGCATTAGACAATGAGTAACACTGTGCGTGTGTGTTCATATCTATTGAAGGTATATATTCAGTGTGTTCAGAATGTGCTTGTCCTATTTTTTTTTTTCACAAAATCAAATGATTTCTTTAGGTAAGAAATGGCTTCTCAACTTAATTTGCATTTCTATTATTGTAAGGATACTTTTACAAGTGAATCTCTTGTGTGAATTGTCTATTTGTGTTTCTAGCTCATTAAGATCAATTTTCCCTTCAATTATTAAGAATCTTTAATATATTCTAAAGAATTTTTAATTAAAAAACTCAAATACTTTTTCTGTGATATGTATTACAAATACATTCTCCTAGTTTGTATTTTGCATTTAGTTTGCTTGTGCTATTTAGCATCATGCAAATGTGTTTTTTCTTAAGTCTAGTCAACTGTATCAATTTTTTACTGCCTCTGGATAGTTACAAAGATTTCTCCACACTTGGGTTGTAGAGGGATTCATTCACATTTTCTTATAATACTTATCTAATTTCATTTGTTTACATTTCTATCTCTGATATGTTTGGAATTTATGCTTGATAAATTCTTGGGGTTTTACTTTTTTCAAGTTATGCAATTTCATTTTTTATTTTATTTTAAGTCCCTGTCTTAGTCTCTCAACTGGGCCTCAATCGTACATAAAACTTCCATATATTCTTAGTTCTACTTTTTGACTTTCTGTTCCAGTCACTGGCTTCTCTGTTTATGTGCCAGATGTGCACTACTATAATTATAAAAACTTTATAGCATTTATTAATATCTGGTAGGGCTAATGTCTCTTCATAGTTTTTCTTTCCATTTTTCCTCCTTATTCCTGCATATTTATTTTTTAAAATTCTGTGGAATCAGAGTTCCTAGCAGTGTCATGGGAATCTGCTTTTAGGCTTACTAATTAAGCCTAAAATTAATGAATGGTACATCATTACCAAAATTGATTTCAGCAAAGGGCTTCCTCAATGGTTCCCTTAAAATGCTACTTTGGGTCTTAATATTTTAAATTTTAGGTGACAACCTGGCTATAGATTATACAAAATATCTAAAGATGGGGACCTTATCTGCCATTTGATATTCAGCCATTGAGTCATCCATGGGTTCAGCTTTTTAAGTACTGTGCAAGGATGAGGATACGAAGATATGTAAGACCAGTTTCTGTACTGTTGTAGGAGAAATGGAAGATTATATAAATATTTGTAAAAATTAGGCATGGCCATAGAAATACGTTTGGGGAGTTTTATGGGGATGAGTGGCTTCAAAGAAGAAATGTGCCTCTCTTCTGGACCTTAGAAGACTTCAAAGAGGCAGTGGTGCTTTGGACAAAGCATTTCCCCCATGTATTAACATGCAGTGAAAGACAGTGATTTCAAACATATCATTTACATGGAGTTTTTAAGCAATGCTTCTCTTACACATGATACGCTGGGACATCAACTCACCAACTCACCCAACAGTGCTACCTAGGATTACTCATATACATAAGAGAAAGTTGATCTGTAAATAGAGGAATCTCTAAACTGAGTGAATTCTTTCTAGGATGTCCAAACTTATTAGAAACACTGATTGACATCGATAGTAAAGTAGAAAACATCAGCTATAAGTGGAAATTTCAGTAAATGGAGCATGAATTGCCACTGGTTCTATTACTATGCTTCACACTCTCTTAAAGTAAAAAATAGGCTTATGCTCTCTATTAGAATTTGTGATAGTTTGGTTCCATTCCATTTATTCCTATTATTAGACTTTGCTTACCCAGGATAATTGCTATGTGGAAGAGCGGCCATAAAATCTTATATTAGCATTCATACTGGGGTTATAATTATGGGTTGGCTTGGTAGGGAGTGAATTTGCTATCCCATGAGTAGCTGTAATGAAGAATGAAAGGCCAACATTTTAAATTGCAATACAAGTGCCCCTTGCTCAAAAGAAAATTGCCCCAAATCAAGTGTAGTAAGGACTCTTGCATTTACTAATTTTAATGGTATAGTGGGTAGAGGGCTTTTAAATTACCAACATATATATTTATCTAAAGTCCATTTAACTGGTGTTTGGTTTTGACATGTTACAGATCATGTATGTTTCAGTGGTTCCTGACCCACACTTTGCAGCAGGTGTCAACTGCAATGGAAGCAAGTGTCACCCTGAAATAGTACACTACTATTCTGCTTTAACTAGCTTTCGCCATTACTTTTCAGTAGTTACTTACCAAATGCTTTTTAAGGCTTATGTTTTAATGTATATTTGGATTGTCTCATGAATTGGAAGAAAGTAAGCATTTTGGCATGGTGTTTGAAAAAATATATAGGCTTCCAGATTAACCTGGAGAAAGTTAAAATAGTTCCTGGGTGAAAACAGTAAAATTTAATGTGCCTCTTTTGAGTATGACCATATTAATTTTAGTAATTTCTTTTTTAATTTACAGTTGGTAATCAGTGGATAAATTACATTTCATTCTGTGGTCTTAGGACACATGCTGAGCTTGAAGGAAGCCTAGTCACTGAGCTTATCTATGTCCACAGCAAGTTGTTAATTGCTGATGATAACACTGTTATTATTGGTAAGTATGTGGTCTGTGATTGTGTTCCTGGCCACTTGATTTATCTCATGCCCAAATCTTTCTTCCTTATTCTGCCTGCACTTTTCTTTGTAGTTGAGGGAGTTAGCATATTATCTAAAACATTTCTGAAGAAATCATTTTTTCTCACATCCTTTCTAGTCTGTGTTTATCAATTAAAAAAGTCAAAGATACCAAGCAAAGAAATTGACTTGTTACAGATCATAACATTCAAAAAGCAGTGGTTTAACCTAGCAGTCTAGTCTGCCTGATCTCACTCATTCTTTATTGATAAGTAGTATAAGTAATGTTATTTGTTATTCTTATTTTTAATCCTAGTTCTTTAATTTCTGGGATTAGAAGGGGAAAAATATGAAGGGAAAGTGTCATAAAAGAGTTCCTGCAATTAATTTGCACTTGAGCACAACACATCTACCAACTCATTACCAGAGATCTGAAGTTATTTAAAAGCGAAGTCCTTTTATTAATGTATTGCTGCCTGCATGCTTACCGTTGTTTTTCCTAATGTCTGTGCTTTGGGTGTTGGCTAGCTTTATGGGATAGCTTTGTCAGTGTGTATGGAGGTAAGGAACAGGTTGCATATTAATGATAGGATGAGCCTATGCTAGACATCCTAGTTCTTTCTTATCAATGATGTACAGTGGATTCTCCAAAGACCTCTTCCCACTGATAGGTTCAGCATTTACTGGCTTTACTTTCCACACATACGAGATTTATTTGGCCAGAGAGATGGATTTTCCTCATTTTCATAAACACCAGAGGCTTAATTTTTTACTATCATTGAGTTGTTTTGCCTTTGTAATATTATGAACAGGGAGAGTAAGGATGAGAAACAAAGAGTTAGTAACCAGCCAGATAAATGAATCGATGAGTATGGATTTATGTTACTCTGAAGCAGGCTGTGTCCCACCACTGAGGATTCTGCTCATCTGTTTTAAATAAAATGCAGTTTCTTAGCTACAATAAGATAATTCCCTAGTCTTTAAGAAATTAAATGTCACAAAGTGTTTTGAATTCTATTTGGCAGCCACTATGCCTTTTCCATCTCTATCCCCCATGGAGCAAAGAAAAATTTAATATTATCTAGGAATAATTAGACTGCCTTATCTGGAATATGATTTAAAAAGTAGTTCGGAAACCATGAAATGTGTGGACCACGGTGTATGTGTGTGTGTGTGGTGGGGGGGATTGGATAGATTGATTCACTATTTGTGCAGGACATTAAAGAAAAACATTTTGTTCTCCCATCTGCTGCTTTATAAGGATCGTAGCTATTTAGGGGTTTGTTTGCTTTTCCTCTTCAATACTCAAGGTTTCTCTGATCTCCCCCTCCCCCAAACACACCAGCTATGCTGGCCTTGTTTTTCAAAAGCTAACCTCAGAATATTTTTATATTAAATTTGGCAATAACAGCAGGAAGGGAAAAATATTGATGTTTGCTGAAATGGAAAAATAAACAAAGCCAAGAAAAATTCAGTTGATCTGTTCAGGAAGATTTCAGAACTCTTGAAGTAAAAATTGACAGATGTGAATATTTTCCTTTAAAAAGTCACTTTGACTTTCAGCCTTCTTCACAGAAGAGTATAAATGCAAATTCGTACTCAGTGACACATCTAGCAGTTAAATAGGTTTTCTGAGGTTTTTAATTGACTTATTTTCTAGAATGGTCTTTGAGTCCTTAAAGGTTAGTTTTTTTAAGCTGGCAAGAATTGATCAATTTTGCTTAGAATTTTCATCTGCCCTCTTGAAACTGAAGATGTGGGCATGGGACTGTGAAGAGGTCTTTCTTGCTGGCCTCAGAAGCTGGGTTTCTTTTTTCCCTTCCTAAGAGCATTGGGTCAGAAAGAATAGATTTCTCCCCAGGAAAAATCCAAAGGTCCTTTATTTTTATCTCAGTGAAAACTTTCCCATTTGTTGTTTCTATAACATGTCAACCCTGTTTAAATTCAGACTATAGGGAATGATATTTAAAATTTCCAAAGAAAAGCTTACAAAGGTTAGGTTAAACATATTTTATAGATTTTTAAACAAGTATTTTAAAGCGGAGGTTAAAGTAACTAGCAATTAATTTTTCTAAAATGGTAAAATTATACCAGAGTACTGAATAACAAACATAAGAAAAATGACTAATCTTTTTTCTCTTCATTTGTTTTCTTCATGAGCAAAGATTTACTTTTTTGACTTCAAAGATCTCTTTTATATATTTTTTTGATTATCTGTAGACCTGGATAGTCCTGCTACTCACGAGATCTCAGACAATATCCACTATACTGATCCACTTTTACTTTGGCACATAAACTAATATTTGTGTGTTCTCCTAACCCAAGCAACGCTCTCCCTTAAGTAGAATTGAAGGCTATTTTGTTGATGAAATAAGATAATTGATTTTTACAATGCAAAGCACAAACAAACAAAATAGCAAACTTCTCCTCACAGTGCTCAGGGCTGGAGCAAAAGCAGTCATATCTTCCCCATAACATCAGAAGCATCAGGATGGTCTTTGCAGGGCAGCATCTGGGAGGCCCAGAGATGATCACCAAGTGTGGGTAGGTGGGGACACTGCATGGATCGTGAATATCCATTTTGGAAGGGCAGGCTAGAGAATGGCAAGTGAGCATCTATAGTTGAAGGGCTGCCCCAGTGAAGGGAGATTATATTAATTTTTCAAAGAGCTAGTCCCGTGGGTTCTATCCTTGCTATGTTAGAATCACCTGGGAAATTGAAAATGTCTTTAGTGTACTTTACAAAGGATCAAACCCCAAAACAAATCAAAAGGATGTACTGATGGTAGACACATGGACAGAGCAATATACCAGTGTTTGCTTTCTGTTTCCAATAGTATTTACCTGATTGGTCTGGTTCCAGACTCAGGCATGGTAGGTAGGTAGGGGAGCTGTTTAGGTTTTGGATTCAGGATTTCTTTGTAAGTCCTAGGTACCTGGCTATGTGTAATCAGAGCTGAGAGTTCTTATGTGGAGGCACTGGAAACATGAGTGGGTGCAGACTACTATTTGGGCTCAACAGAGAAAGCAGATTTCCTTGAAAATAGAGCAGAGTTGATGTGGGACTCTTAATTACTATTGTAACAAATAGCCAAAAGCTTAGTAGCTTAAGAAAACACCGATTTATGATGTGCCATGTCTGTAGATTAGAAGTCAAGCAAGAGCCTAAAATTAGGCATCAACCTGACACCTAAGTGTTGTATTCTTTTCTAGGAGTTATAGAAGAATGCCTTTCCTGACCTTTTTCAGCTTCTAGATTTTGCCCACACTCCTTGCCTTCTGAGCTGCTTCAGCCACTTTTGAAGCTGTCAACCTTGCATCTCTGGGAATTCTCAGAAGTCTCAATCCATCTGTTTATAAGCACATCTTCCTATAAATTCTCTCCATGTCTTTTTTTCCCTCTTAACTTCTAAGTCGCTAGTGACTATGCTGAGCCCACCTGGATCACCCCCTGGATCATCATCCTATTTTAAAGTCACCTCATTGGCAACCTTACCTCCATAGGCAATTCCCTTTGCCATGTAACCTAACATATTCATAGGTTTTAAGAGTTAGAAATGACATCTTTGGGCTAGTCTGTCTACTATGAAGAGATTTGTAATTCTTACATAAGACACAAGAAAAGTATCTATCCCAAAGCAAAAGATGAGTAAATGCAACTCTATTAAAATTTAGAACTTCATTAATTAAAAAGTTTATAAAGAGATTTAAAAACAGATTAGAAAGATAAACTAAAAAGGAGAAGAAAGCATGATTTACAGTGCACTGAATATTCAAAACTCATGAAAAAATGTCGTAAGACAATAAAAGACAAACATCCAAAAAACATGAAAGGACAGAAGTATTTTATAGGAACTGCACCAAAGAGAAAATAACTAAGGATCATAAACATATAGAAAGTCGTTCATTCCCATTAATATAACTGTATAAATGACAATTTTTAGAATTACCAGAGTGGGAAAAAAATTAAAAATTGGGCAATTTAAGTATTGGCAAGATGGTGGAGCAATAGGAGCTTCCATTCATTGCTGGTGAGAACGTAAGTTGGAAACCACTTTGGAAAGTATATCCTGGAATTACCGAGGAAGTCACACAGCCTGCAACTCAGCAGCCCACTCCTGCACGCAGAGCCTAGATAAACCCTCATCTGTGTGTACGGAAAAGCCAGTGTACAACTACGTGGCACAGAGTTGTGCACCGCTGCAAAGCTCTGCAAGTAAACCAAACATCCATCGATAATAGATGAATAAATAAATCCGTGGTGTGCTCACTCAAAAAATACATAAGGGGCTGGGGAGATAGCTCAACAGCTTATTTGCCTGCCTGGCAAGCACAAGGTCCCAAGTTCAATCTCCCGATACAAAAAAAAAGAAAAACATATTATGATTTTTTACAAAAATTCCAAAGACAATGTTAAATGAAAGAAACAAATTTCAAAAGATTATCTATTATACTATTCTATTTATATAAATTAAAAAGAAGTAGGGCTAGAGAGATAGCTCAGAGGTATAAGCACCCACCTGGTAAACACAAGGACCTGAGTTTGATACCTGGCCCCACTTCCCCTGCTGTCTTGGCCCCGGCTGCAGGCACCCACCGTGTGGCCCTGGAACCTGGTGTGGTGGTGCATGCTTGTAATGCCTGCACTCAAGAGGTTGAGCCAGGAGGATCTCTTTGAGTTCAAGATCAGTCTGGGGGCTACGAAAGTGAGCAGAAGGCCAGCCCAAACTGCAAATAACAAGTCAAAAGTAAAGTACTCTTTGTTTAGGAATACATGGAGAGCATAATGAACACAAAGTTCGAAATATGGTCTTCCTCTCTGAGAAGGCAGGGCAGGCAGGGCAAGGTGCGCAGAGGCTTCTCGGATGAGCTGATGGTCTCAGCCAGGCGATGCATGCAGTGCTACCTATGTTACTGTTGCTCAGGTTGCATATCTTACGTTTCTATATCCACTTTTGTATTTTGCTGTTTCAAATAGATGAAGTTTTCTAATGGAGGACTCATAAAAGAACATTTTTCTAGGATCCAGCCAAATAGCTCAGTGGATTAAAGCACCTACAAGCTTGGGGCTGGGGGTTCTATCCCCAGGTCTGCCGTGCTGGCCCCACCCCGGGGGTGCACTGAGATGGCAATTGAGACTGGGCACGGTGGCACCTGCCTGTAATCTTAGCTCTTGGAAGGCTGTAAACAGGCAGATTACTAGAATCCGATCTAGTAGTGAGACCCTGAACACCCTGTAGGCCCTTCCCTAAGATAAAAAAAAAAAAGAAAGAAAGAAAACATTTTTCTAAAAATTAAGTGATTTTAAGATGGCAACATCGGAACTGGGCGTGGCTGCTCACCCCTGTAATCCCAGCCCTTGGGAGATTGAAATAGGAAGATCGCTAGGAGCTTGAGATCAGTGTGGGGGCTACGAAGGTGAGCACAAGGCCAGCCCGAACTACATAGTGAGACACTGTCTCAATCAATCAGTAAATAAAGGCAACATCCTAATGCAAGAGATTGCCATAAAAATGATATAAGAACTCGGGCTGTATTTGTTACAATACAATTCAGGGGCCGGGGAGATGGCTCAGTAGAATAAGTGTTTCCCTGGCAAGTGCAAGGGCATGAGTTCAATCCCCAGTTCCACAAGAAAAAAAAGAAAAGAAAAGAAAGAAGAAACAATTCAAATTCTGAGACCATGTAGAGAGCGGAATGCCATGTCTTCCTCAGCAGAAAATCACCACCTTTAATACCTTTCACAGTTCGGTATGTGTCTTTCTAGGTCCTTTGCTCTCTCCTATTCTGTGTATGTCATAAAGAAATGAGCACATGCCCAAATACAGTATATTCTGTTCTAGATTTTATTTTTAGAACACAGGATATTTAACCATAGACTAGAGGAAATACTGGCATCCATCCATATCTTGTTGTCCGTGTTGCACTTATTATGCTCCTCAAAATTTTGTTCCCTTTTAATCCACTCATCTATCGAATACAGTTGAGGTCACTGTTCTGAGTAACTCCAGATCAACTCTGCAAGAACAAGAACCAAGCCTTATCTCACAATGTCTGGAATTAGTCCCACCCCTGGGAGTAGGAGGCCCCACTGTGTCGGGAGGGGGCTTAGGGATCAGTGTGTGTGTGTGTGTGTGTGTGTGTGTGTGTGTGTGTGTGTCTGCCTGTCTGTCAGGGAGGGGTTCCTGCAGGCTCACAGTGAACAGAATAACAGTGTTTCCTGACAGTGAACAGAATAGCAGTGTCCCATTCCAGCATCCCAGCCCCCAAACAGCCTCTGCCTGACACAGGAGGATGGTAGAGTCTTCAAGTAGCACAATGAGGACTTTATTTCTGGTGTCCTTGTAATTTGCACACCTACAGGAGGTGGGAGGGGCGTGGTTAAGTCAAGCAGAGAGGAGTTTTTGGTGAGCAGATTCTTCCTTCCTCTGTCACTGGGCTCCTGGTGCAGCTATTCCAAATATCTGACAACAGTGCTGCTAACGATGAACATTTGTAGAGTGGCTCCTGTATCAGTAAGTGCTTTCACCCCTACAAGGTCTGTATTGTTATCTTAGTTTATGAAAGCTCAACTGAAAGCTGAGAAAGATGAAATGATTTGCCCAATTGTTGCTGGTCAACTGCCAAGGCTAAAGGTATGGCTGCCAATTTTATAACTTAATGCAGATATAAGTCCATAAATAAAGGATGATTTGCTACTTACAATTCTGAATGTTTTGAAGATTTCTGCCTTATGGTACTTAAATAGCACCCCCAAATTTCTAAAGAGCATTAAAAACTTAGTTACTCAGGACTACCACTCACATCCATAGTCATCAACTTCATGCCAGTACTCTGATAGATGGCAGCTAAGTCTCTTGAGGGAAGGGCAGCTTCCACCCATGTACAAAATTCTGCCTATTGGTCATGGGGTTCTAGGAATGGTAAGCCTGACCCTTCTGCTCCACATTTGCAGGGGCAGCAGAGCATGGCAGCTGGGGCAAAAGAAACAAAGAATAGGTCAGCTTAGCTCCTTCTGTACTCTGTAGGACACCTCAAGGATTCAGAAGCATGGATCTGCAGCAATGAATGCAGAGTGTGCTGTGGTTTCTGAACTCACAGCAGAGCCCTGCAGAAAGCTCAGGTTGAACTAATATGAAAGATTTGCCCTTCGTGTGTGAAAGTCAACATTCTCAGCTCATTTGGATTTAAAAATAGAAGAGAGAGAAGCTGATAGAGAAGCTGTTGACATACCACATGAGTGCAGCAAGACTGGAAAGTCCGTAGCACTAACCACAGACTACATTTAACAGAAGACTCTGGGTGACTGAGGCACATCTGGGTTTTAATATTCATAGTCATATGACTATGAGGTAAAATCTATGGAGAATCTGATTCATAACTCCAAAATCAAAGCCATCTTCTGTACTAAACTGGTCAACAAGTCTTCTTGAAGTGCTTCATGGTTGTATCACTTGGAGTCACTTGAGCCACATATAGAAAGCTCAATAATAGAGAAGATGTTTATTTCACATAACAGAAAATTCTAAGGTTAGCTCAGAATCTAAAGCCTTTCTTCTGGGCTGTGAGATAGCTTAGCAGACTACACATATACTTAGGCAAACACAGGGACCAGGGATCAATCCTCAGCATGACATGCCATCTGGCCCCGCCCCTGAGTGCTCTGAGCCAGCCACCAAGACCCGGCATGGTGGTGTACACCTGTAATCTCAGTGTTGGGGAGGCTGAAAACAGGAAGATCACTATGAGTCCAAGCTATGTAGTGAGATCCTGTACCAAATACATAAAAATAAGTAAATAAATAGTCTTGCTTCTTTCAGATTCTTTCAGCTATTTTCCAGCTTCAATATGTCTGTTTGTCTCCCTTGTATTTGAAAATGGCTGCACCCACTCCCAGAATTATGTCTTCTTCCAACCTTTCAACTCAATATCCAAAGGCTGAATAAGATAGCATTCTTCTCTTCTGCTGTTCTATACAGGAAAGAAAAGCTTTCTTAGAAGTCCTCCAAAGACTTTTCATCATGTTGCATTAGTTAGAACCACAACAGTGCCAATTCCTAAGCCAATCAGTGGTAGAAGTAATGAAATTACCATGGCTGGTTCAGACTGATCAAAGTGCACCCCTGGGTTAGGCAGGGCTTCCCCTTTGTCTTATCAGCAAGGGCGGATGGAGTGAGGCGGACCACCAACAGTGTGTGTCACAACAGGAAGGTGTTCAGTTTTATTGTTTCTCCTTATAGGCTCTGCCAACATAAATGACCGAAGCATGCTGGGGAAACGTGACAGTGAGATGGCTGTCATTGTGCAGGACACAGAGATGATCCCATCAGTAATGGATGGACAAGAGTACCAAGCTGGCCGGTTTGCTCAAGGACTGCGGCTCCAGTGCTTCAGGTTGGCCCTCCAAAGCAACATACATGCTCTAAAGCCCCCTCTGGGGCCTGGCTTGATGTCTTGCCCCTGGCACATGTGTCATGCTAGATTCTTCTTTCTCTAAAATAATGTCTCCAGAGCAGAGGGGTGTACACTAGTGTGTGAGGTCCCTTTATACAGTATGCAAACACTATTTTTTCTTTAATAATCTAATTAATCTCTTATTTTTATGAGTAATAGGACAAACTAGCATTTTAAATAGATTAATTGATTTACAACCAGGCCAAGTCAAACCATGTGGTGCCTATTTAAGTTTTAAAGTCTGTTCAGTTTTAAAAATTCACATGGTTCAGTAATATTAAGATATAATAAAAGCCAGTAAGTACATTGTAATCATCACCACTGTCAGATTTAAACATGAAATCTCAAGTACTGAGGTTTAAGATGACACCAGATATGAGATTTACATAAATCTGTGGTCAAGCAGAGAGACTGCTGGTTAAAAAGCCAAAGCTGTGTGCTCCTACATGCCTTCTTCATTTGAATAAGTGCTATTGAGAACACTTCAGGGCTGGGCTCTAACCGATCCCAGCACCAGCAGAATGAATCTTCAGTGGCTTCTCCTCTCACAAGTAAACAAGCAAATAAGGTTCTTGCAAGCACACTGATCTCCGCACTGTCTGTGGTGCACCCAACCACTCACTCCTAGGCCTCTGCACAAAGCCCACCGTTTGAAGCTGCTGGTTCCATGACACTGTGGCTCTGCAGTGAGTGCAGCAAGTGTCCCTGACAGTTAGGGTTGTGCTTCATTCCATCTGGGGAAGGGCTCCGCACTACAGCATTGTGGCTTTAGCCCTTCCTGGTTAATGGTCCACGTGAGAAACTGAATCGCTCACAGAGGTGCACACTGAGCACCTCACTCCGTGCAAATGTGCTGGCCCCCATCTGTGTTCCTGGCAGTGCAAACTCTGGCATCCCAGGCTGAGAAGAGGTGTTTTTGTTTTTGTTTGTGTGTGTGTATATCTATATCTACATCTACATCTATATCTATATCTATATCTATATCTATATAATTTTATTGAGAAACAAATAGCAACAAGAGAGCTTCAAAACCAATCAGTAGGACAGTTTCAATAATAAATACATTGCACATATCCCAATATAGTCCAGTAGTCCATAACAGTAGTGGGTCATCCACAGGACTGAAAATGTCAGAAGTTGTTGACCTGAGCCCTTTAGAGCCCAGCTTACCAACATGGCTTCACCCCTTATACCTCATTTTTATACCTTTCTGCTGGATGGCTAAGACCAAGAGAAAGCAAGACCTATATAACAAGAAATATAACTTTTGTATCTGATAAGGCCAGTCAAGTCCCCTCAGGATTTATCCTGAAAGCCTGTACCGCACTTTGTAGATCTTTTGTCAGTGTCAGCCATGTGGCTGAGTCACGGCCATTGCTTGACCAATTTTCTCTCTGTGAAAGCCGGAGAGAATATTTTCTCTCCCTATGACTCTCCTTATGCACACTCTACATCATCGATCACATTCCTCTGTGGCCTCATAATCTCCTTGATCAGAAAATTTAGGACACAACTGAGTTACATGATGTTACATTATAGGTTCTCCTATGTCCTGAGTCTTCCCTGACCTTGAAAGGCTAGGGCCAAAATGTTGCCTGACCTTGCAGCCCTTCTTTTCAAGAAGAGCTTTGAAACCAGAGACATTCATTCTGTGCTGTCTTTTCCAGTTGTTCAAACCGTAGCTTCAGGCCTGTCAATAACTCCTAACAACTTTATTGCTTTATTCATTATCTTCCTTTATTAATTATTTTACTAGTAAGATTTTTTATTCAAACCATTGATATTATAATAAAGTGGCAATGTTAATTTGTTTTGTATAGCAGGGAGAATGTAAAATTCAAACCCTGCTAATCAACCCACTGATTGCCTACTGCAGCATATAAAAGGAAATAAATATTTCCTTTTGTAAGATGAAAATATATGTCATACCTTACCTTTTCAATTCTTTGAGAATTTAAAGTGATGGTGTCTCTGTTACCCTTCTGTCATTGCTGGGACAAATATCTGATATTCAAAAAAAAGAAAGGAAAGGTTTATTTAGTTCACAGTCAGTGGAGGTTTCAGTCCATACTCAGCTGGCTCCAAGGCAGAGCAGCCATGGCAGAGAGCAGCCTTTTATGGTGGTGTTAAAGAGCAGAGAGCATGAAAAAAAATTTAAAAAACAAAAATAAAGAAAGAAAGAGCAGAGAGCAAAGGGAGTGGCAGTAGCTGAGGCAGCTAGCTAGCCTCTCGACCCTCCTTACATAGTGATGCAGATTACCTGCACTAGGAAAGGAGCAGCTCCCACACCCACAATAACCAATCACTAACTCCAGAATCTGCCACATGACTGCATGAGGCTTTGCTGGGGGGGGGGGGTCAGTGGGTGGGAGAGTGGATGCCTGGACACAAACCATAACAGGTGGGCTTCTTTATAACTTTTAAAATGTATAATAAGCTAGGAAGTTCTGGTAAATAACACTTTCTTATTCTCTTGTGCAGTACTAAGGATCGAACACAAGGCAAACACTGTCATTGAGCTAAATCCCCAGTCCTTTTTGCTTTTTATTTTAAGGCAGGATTTTGCTAATGTGCCCAATCTTTTCTCAAACTAGCAGTCCTCCTGCCTCTACCTTCTTAATAGCTGGAGTTACAGGCATCCTCCGCTATACTTGTCTCCAAAACATTTTTATTATAGAAATTTGGACAATCCAGAAAACAATTAGAAAGTTGAATTCATCTGCACCTGTCTTACCATCTCCACCACACAGTCTTACTAATTTATTATTTTTTTTTATTTTAGGGAAGGGTCTACAGTGTGTCCAGGGTTTCACTACTAGATTGGACTCGTAGTGATCCACCTGTTTCCAGCCTCCCAAGAGCTGGGATTATAGGCACACACCACCACGCCTAGTCTCAATCACCTTCTCAGTGTGCCCTGGGGGCAGGGCCAGTGCAGCAGGCCCTGGGATCAAACCCCTGGCCCCTGAGCCTGCTTGCAGGTGCTTTAATCTGCTGAACTATTTGGCTGGTCTTACTAATTTTTGAAATTTGTTTTCAGCTGGCATCTAAAAATTATACATATTCATGAGTACCATGTGGTTTTTTTTGATCAGGTATGCATTCATTGTGTAATGTTGAAATCAGGTTAAATATCTCTGCCTCCTCAAACATGCATCATTTCTTTGTGGTAGAAACACAAACCTCTTTCATCGAGCTTCTTGAAGTACGTAGTGCTTCTCATTACCTGTACTCAGCCTGCTATGCAGTGACAGAGCAGCACGTTATTTCTCCTGTTGAGCTGTGCCTTACAGCAGTGTCCACTGCTCCTTTTCTTCCTTCTTCTCCCCTGACCCTTACTCTCCTCAGCATCTGGTGACCCCATTGACTCTCAGCTTCCATGAGATCAGCTTATGTATATTCTAGTATAAGTGAGATCATGTTCCTTGTCTCTCTGTGCCTGGATTGTTTCACTTAACCTGCAATTCCATCCATGTTGTCACAAAGAGCATCATTCCATCCTTCCTCTATACAGAACAGGATTCCCTCGTGCATACGCATCACGTTTTTTCTAGCTGTCCATTCATCAGTTGATAGACACTTAAGTGTTTCCATTTCTAGGCCATGGTGCGTAGTGCTGCAGACAACACAAGAGTACAGATGTCTCTCTGACATAATTGCTAGATCAACTGATAGTGCTTCTTTAATTGTTTAAAGAACTTCCATACTGTTTTCCATAGCGCCTGTGCTAATTTACATTCTCACCACAAGTGCGAGGGCTCCCTGTACTCCATATCTGGCCACTGTGCTAAGGATTTTAACATTTGATCATTCCACTTTTTCTGTATACATATAGTGATGTATTGCATTTCTTTCCCTGAAGTAACATTAGAATCTTGTAGGTGTACAGCATTATTTAAATAGTGTTACACACATTTTTCCATATCAATAAGTACACACCTATAACGTTTTCATAGCTACATTGTATTTCACTGTATGTATATATGTATATGCCAAAATTTCTTTCTTTCTTTTTTTTTTGGACTGGCTCAGCCCACCCTGAGGGTGGGGCTGGCATGGCATGTGGTGCTGGGGATTGAACCGCAGTTCCTTGCACCTGCCTATACTTGCCTAAGCAGGCGCTTTAAACTGCTGAGCTATCTCGCCAGCCCAATGTACCATAATTTCTTTAACAAGTACTTCATGTTTGGCACAGTTTTTGCTAATATAAAAATGGGTATATCTGTATGTGTGATCTTGTTCACTATCTGCATTGTTTCTGAAGATGAAAGAAGCTTCTTTTGCTGTCTAACTTCTTGTTATATACCAGCAATGTTTTGGAGAGCTTATTATTTCTATTTTTGTTCAATTCCATCATTGTAGTTCCTCTTTGCTAGTGGGTTGAGGTTCAAGTGAAATGTCATTATTCTAATTTCTACTTCTGGGCTCTTCAGAGATGTGTTTATTAGCTATAAGTAATTGTTCTCCAAATTGTCTAGCCTATTCATGTCCTTTGCTTACTGTGTTGGGATGTTTAACTTTTAGTTACTGACATAACTACTTTAAATACTGGATTTAGGATGCTATATATATTTATATGTAAAGATGGTTGATCAATTTCCTTTTAATCCTACTTAATAAAGTATTAGGGAGATATTTCTCAAGTCTTATTAACCAAATATATCAGTTTTTAAAAATTTATTATCATTATCATTATTATTATTATTCTTATCATTATTATCTTAGTACAGAGTCTACAGGGTCTCACTACACAGATGGGACTCGTAGTGATTCTTCTGTTTCCAGCCTACCAAGTGCTGGGATTATGGGCGCACACCACCACACCCAGTCTCAATCACTGGTTCATCGCACCGGAGGGGCAGGGCCAGAATGGCATGCCTGGGGATCGAACCCCAGCCACTGCGCTCTGCCTAAACAGGCACTTTAATCTGCTGAGCTAT